CACCGCATGCATCTGGGTGCAATCCTAAAGCAATGATGTTACAAATGAAGATCCTACATTGTACAGCAAGTAAAATCAAAGTTTAAAAAGGTAAATTATGGTTTCTGTGGTTCTATCTTGAACCTCAGAATTTTTGAGATATTTTGAGTAACATTCTCTAGTTGGACAGCAAACCTAACAAAATAGACTTAACCCTATTGACCTTGTCATTAAAGATACTATAAAAGCTCAGGAAAAATAAATCAATAAGTAAAGAATTGTTTATGAAAACAAATTTTTAAAAATTTAAAAGCTTCAGATATCAAAGAACAACTTGGAAGTTTTGCTCCCCTTCGCTTCCTAGTGCGAGCTTTCTGGGCAACCTGTCTTACAGCACAGACTTGCTGCTAATGGTTACCAGGGTGCCAAGCGGCTACTCTGCCTCAGTCCCGGGCCAGTCTAAGACCTCAGAGCCCCAGAGCTGGTGGCCTCGGCCAGCCACAGTCTTGTCCCCTCACCTCAGGGAACTCTGCACACCTTCTTATGACGTCCATGAGGTAAAAAAGTTGAGAGCACAACCCTATATGACAGCTGGATGCTAGCAAAATTATAAGTACATATTTACAATCTCTTTGGGACCCCAGATGTTTTCACACTCACAATCCTAAGTAACAATTGTATTCTCAGTTAAATAAAAAATGGTCTAGAGGGCAGTTAATAGTGTCAAAGTTCAAGGACGGGTGGTTTGTCCGCTGACATACCACACTGCTAGGACATGGCAGAGCAAGACTTTTAAATCAAGTCTTTCTATGTGCAAACCTTTTCCCCCCTGATATACCTCTCAGTATGATGACATCTGAACCTTACCCAGATCTTTAAAAACAGCATTTGATTTCATTCTCTGAAGAAAAGTTCAAATGGTTTTCCTTTGTTTTTTCTCGTGACTGCCATGAAAATACTAATGTATACAGAAACTGATACTCTCTCTGAACTTAGCAGGCCTGGGAAAGCATAACACTAATAGGCATATTGAGACTATAACAATTCTCTTTTTACAGCTCCCCATCCCAACACACAGAGACCTAATCCTTGTTATTTTGTGTTAGTAAAAGAGTTCTTGCCTATTACTCCAGAAACGTCCCTAAAAGTACTTATTAAAAAGAGACCAGATTAAAAAGAAAAGAGCATGTTGCCATTGACCAACATAAATTGTTATTTTGTTTTACCAATCACAGTTTCTTATTGTTCTTTACATACAAAGAAAGTGAAATGAAAGAAACTGTCAAAAAATAAATTACATAATGCACAGGTAAAGAAAAATATAAATTTTAAACACTAGGCAATTGTTGTTAAAGAGATATTAATAAAATAGAACCTATGTTATAGTTTGTGTCTACATGTTCCCCCAGATCCTCGTGCAGTCAAAGGTGGGGCTTTTTCAGAGATGGCTGTATCTAGAGTGTGTGACTGATTCATGGTACAAATGCTAAGGTTAAGGGTGTGTGATAACTAAATCAGTCCACTGGTTGGATCAGCACCGCCCTAATCCCAGTAGACTGGATACAATATAAGTGACAGAAAGAGGCTAATCCCCTTGTTTGTTGCCATGAACTGTTTTCTGCGAGCCTACCCTGCCTTGGAGCCAAGTGATTATGAACTGAAACCTCTACAAACTGTGAGCTAAAAATAGCTTTTCTCCTTTAACTTCCAGTATGGAGTATTTTGTCTCAGCAATAAGAAAAGTGACTAAAAAACACTTAAGTACGATTTCTGCTTCAAAAACTAGACAAATCAATAGATTTCAATGAATAAAAATAATATCGTACTCTCTTTTGATCAAGCAAAAAGGAGAAAGACACAAATATGAAAGTAGGAAAATAGAAATAGGAAATACATAAAAGTAGCTAGTATAAACAAATTTAAAAGCATATCTAAAATATTAACCAGAACATTCATTTTCTGTTCAGCTATTAAAACGATTCAGTGGTTGAACATGCAGGCATAAAAAAATATATGTAAGCAAGCAAGAATGATAAAATATAGTAAATTTGGTGGCTGTAGTAGGCCTGTTACAGGTTTCAAATTTCATGTTTAAAAAAGTGGGCTCTATAACTAGATTATCTGAGTTCAAATCCTACTTCGATTACTTAGCAGTTGAAAGATGATAACGTGTTCATTTTTTTTTAAAGACAGGATTTCTGCATCTTCTGCATCTCTTGCTTCTTTTCTTAATTTATAAAAGATCTATTTCCTCGTTTCCTATTATGTATCTTTTATTTTTCTCTTTATTTATATTTGGGGCTTCTCATATAAAAGAAATCATGTGATATCCAAGCTTGAGTATCTGATTTATTTCACTTAACAACATGACCCAAGGTGCATCCATTTCCCTACAAATGACACAAGTCCATTCTTAGTTATGGTAGAGTAGTACACTAAGTCCTCAACTTACAAACACTGAGAACTTTCACAAATTCAATCAGAATTCATGAACATTCCTAGATGAGAACAAGTCTCAGAAGTAGCTTACATGTCTGTCTGACATTGTCATAGGTATGGGGCTGTGTGCTACTGTATAGTGTACAGTAGTACAGCACAATAGAAATTTATTGTATTTGTGTGTGTGTTTGACTTTTTTATGCTTCACATTGTATATTTGGGTCAAAGGTATATGAGACTCAGTTTGTTGGATTTACAAATTTGACTTACAAATATTCTCCCAGAAAAGAACTCATTTGCAGCAACCTACTGTACTCCATTATGTATAAATATCACATTTTCTTTATCCATTCAACTGTTGATGAACATAAAAACTGCTTCCAAGATTTAGCAACCATAATTGTGCCAGTATGAATATAGGTATTTTGGATCACTGTAACTGATGTGTTGAACATGTTCAGGAAGATATCTAGAAGGGAAAAAGCTGATTGAATGGAATTTTTGGTTCTAGCTTTTTGAGAAATCTCCATACTGATTTCTATAGTGTTTGTACTAATTCATTTTTTATTTGTTCATTCCAAGACATAAATCAACCTTTTTTTCAGTGGCTGACTATTCATACAAATCTTCTTCTCAGGACATTTGGCTTCTCAATACAATCCTGGCCAAATAACTCTAACTTCAGTAATCCTTTAGGAGGCTGATAAGTGTGTGCATGTGCACATGTGTGTTACGTGTCTTCATAGTCCAATAGTTAATATGTTTATTCCAAAATTAAGTAACACATCTCCTCCATACCATTTAAACTATTTATCCAAATTTAACCTAAGCTTGAACATATACTTAATAAGACCTCGCTAAATGTAAAAACAAAAAATTCCACCAATTTCTTGTTTTTAATATTCAGCTTCTGCTCTTACAAAAATTCTCATAAGCATGAATGCACAGAAGTGTTATGAAAGCAAGAAAATGCAATATCCTGAGTAAACATAAAGAAACTAATAAAAGGTGAACTGTTAAGTCAAAGAACACATTGAGTGAATATTAAATAAATACTATTAAAGCATGACTTCAATTCCAAAAATAACGTGGCAACATATAAAGATCATAAGTCTATTTGAATAGTCTCATTGAAAAACGTAACATCCTTGTTGTATGTTTTCTGAAATTATACATTTTAAGAATAACTTCCAATTAAATTACCCTTGCATCCAAATTTACTTTGAGTCAAAGCTCTGTTATAAGCACTGTTAATATGATATTAAACCTTTCCAAGTTAATATTTATTTATAGCCAAGTAAACACATGTAATCACATACAGTGCTGTGCTTAATGAAATGGAAACCATTTTCATAAGTTTTGCCTAAATACATTTTAAGCTTGCAAATAGGGTTGATATTAAGTAAGGAAACATACGTATTACATTTTCATGAGAACTTCATTCAGTTTCCATCTCACTAGAGTTTAACTTTCCATAACTAACCACAGAAAAGGTCAGTAGTAGGCACAAAGTACAGTAAATATACGTGGGAATCTAAGGTTCACAGCCTTATAGCTTATTTCTGAGAAGATTAGATAGCTACCCTGCTAAGGACTGACTGAGAACAAGAGAAAAAGTTGGAGATACACCATCTGTCTCAGATGACGCTCATCGAATGGAGAGGTCTACGTACTCCAGAACATCCACACAGGCGCACACGTGTATACACTGCACACACACCAAAGAATGGAAACTTGGTACGTTTTTAAACTACGTTTTCATAACTTCTTGCTGCAAAACACATAGGCTCAATCTATAATGAAGATCAGTTTTAGAAAACATAGAAATAACAACATTGAATTTGCATGACATAAGACAAATGGATGTCTTCATGCATTACACTTCTTATTGGAAGTTAAAATTAACTTTTATAATGCTTAATTATGTATTTTCCCCAAACTAACATAGCCTACTTTACTAGTATGTTAGGATACAATTTTAGATAGTAGCAATTAATTGAAATTCAAATTAAATATGGGAAGTCAAATTATGAAGCTATTCCTGAGAATGCCAATTTCCAATCCTATTACATTACATATAACAGTTCATGAATGCCTCTGTTCACAATTTGGTTCTCAAACAAAAGCACTGACAAAATGTTACATCTAGTCACAAACTTCACATACGGTGACAAAGACAAACACATCCATGTTCCTCAAAATTGTAAAACAAATTAAGTTAGTGAACCAAAGTACCACTGTGGTTTTAAAGTTTGAAAATGATAATCTCAAAGAAATATATTAATAGAAACACTTTGCATAAGATTGACTACATTTTATTTTTTTCCTTAAAGTTTGGTATTTTCTCTATGAGTATTCTCCAATTTTAGTAAGATTTTGACTCTAAGGATATGAATTCTGATAAACAGAAAGATCATTTTACTAACATGACCAGAAAAGAAAAATATTGCAATGAAAATCCAACCCTTAGACAAGCCTAGCATCCATCATCCCCACAAAACTCAAACAACCCCACTAGAGATGGACACATCCTCTCCCTGAAACAGTCTATCTTTAAACCTGTTTTCTGTACCAACACTCACCTGTGATTTTTTGCAGCAAAGGTGACAATTCAGACTCCTCACAGAAGACTTGAGCCAGTGCTTTCTTCACTTTTTCTTCAGCTTCTCCCAGGTCTTTGTCCACTGTAAACTCTCCAGAGACAGAATAAATGTATATGAGGAGAATCAACAGATCCTCGGGGCCATAGTCATCATTGGTCCTCTGAGTTGATGGCTTACACATGGGCAGCATCTGATTTAACACAACAGACAGCCCTGACTCCCCAATGCTCTGAAATAGAATACAATAATATGAAAATATATCAATCTCATGCAGAAACATAATTTATGCACAACATTAGTCAAAGATGGCCTGTAAACAAGTTTATGATGTTCACTGACTATACTCCTTTTTACTGATGTGTTTATTTATCCTGGAGAAACTACTGCAAAAACTCTGGCATCAGAGTTTTTGTTTTGAAAGGCATAGTTTATAAAATGGCTAGTAAAGTTGCAGACCTTAAACGTGATCTCACTACTGTTTAAACAACAGTCTTTAAGTTTAAAAATAAAAATGCAAGCACTTTAGACACTTGGAATTTTAAATAAAAATAATACATTTGTAAAAATAATATGATTTAAACAACAAATATAGCAGGTCTCTCCTTACAAAGGTATGCTAACCTACCTTCAAGAGAATCACCTCAAGTTTTACAGAATATTATTTTTAATAGCCTTTATTTTGGCAAGTACTATATTAGAATATTTTTTACAACAACAAAAAGTAATTTTCTGCTACCTCTGGTGACTAGAATAACGGATAATGCTACTTAGGGTAGCAAACTAGATAATGCTACTTAGGGTTCTAGAGTTCTTTAGATAAATTGAGGGTAATTTAACTTAAAATTCAAAAGAAATATTTTCAGTTCTCCACCAATTTCTTGAGTGATATTTTGCAGAAAATTTCAAAATGTAAGAACAGCGCTACATTTCTGTAGTAACTTTCAACTATACTCATTTTTGTAGCATAGATGAGATTTTTGATAAACAGATAATCCTCATTTTAAATAATATAATTTAATTTTATTGAAAATATAAAACTCCACTGTTCATATTGATACTCAAATCTGAGGCCAGATTCTCACAACTTGCAACTTGTATTATCCATCCAGAAGTATCTCCTGCACACATACTATGTTCCAGCTACTGTTTTAGGTCTAGGGATGCAGCAGTGAACAAACAAATTCTCTACTCTCATGGAGTAAGCAGACAATTTAAAAGATAAAGAAGTAAAATATGCAGTGCAGTAGACATTTGGAACTGCTATGGAAGAAAATAAGACCAGAAGGGAAGATAAGACCGCAGGGAATGTAAGTTGTGTGTACAGAACGCATTATTTTATACAGGACAATCAGTGTCAAAAAAGGAATACTGGGCTAGAGAAAGACCTGGCAAAACTTTCTTTGAACAGAAAGTTAACAGCAAACAGCTGAATATTGTTTCATACTGTGATTATCACCCTAAATGAGCTTTTCTAGTCATTTCCATTATTGGGCAAATTTGGATGAATTATGTCAAGGTTAAGATTCCCAATTACATGCATTTCTTACGAAAAACCAGCTGTTCCATTTATTTCCACTGAATGTCTTGGATGTTCATGATGTACCAAACAAAAACAAATCCTAAGTCTTTTGGACTAGATAAGGTAAAAATGGAAAAGAACAAAATTGTTTTGTTGCCTTTCCTAGTATACAGTGACAAGATATGATTTAGCAAGTACAAACACACATGCTCCTCAAAAGCAAGAGGGGCAAAAGCTTTGGAGGCAGACTAGAACAGTCTGATAGCTCAGGAGTGTCTGGAAAGGAACCCTCAAGGGTCCTTTCTTTGCTTTACAAGCTGCCAAAAGTAATTTAAAGAAAAGGAGCCATGTGGCTGGCCTGTTAAAAAAAGAAGGTTACAGCTTGCATTTTTGCTTTCTATTCTATCATCAACTCCTTGGATGACAATAAGCAGATTCTTTCATTGCTTTATATCCCATTTCTAAAAAGCAGGTGTTCACATAAAAATCTCTATCCTATGGACCCTTATAGTTTCTCCCAAGAACAGAGGCTCTTCTAAAAAGATAGTTAAAAAAACTGGGGTGAGATAATCATCAAAATGACTTGGAAAAATTCACTCACTAACATCTGGCCTTCAGGACATCATTTTCAAGTTGCTGGCCCATGATATGTGCTAGAGGGCAAAGTCTCTGATGATCTGCTGGAAGATAGAGTGGGTAAAACTCTTGAAGACACTGGTGTAGGCAAAGACTTTATGAACAAAACCCTGATTGCACAGGAACTATCATAAAGAATCAACAACTGGGATCTCACCCTATTGAAAAGCTTTTTCACAGCAAGAGAAACCACTCACAGAATGAAGTGACATGCACAAATGGGAGAAAACATTTTCCCTCTGTTTGTCAAACAAAGGATTACTATCAAGGACATATAAAGAAATTAAAAAATCAATCCTCCCAGATGTAACAATCTAAACCAAAAAGGGGCATCAGATGAATATACACTTGTCAGATGAAGAAAATAAAAAAGTAAATAAATATGTGAAAAAATTTTCAACATCAGTGGTCATTTGAGAGATGCAAATTAAAACAACACTGAAATAGCAACTGAGGTACCAAAACCACTTAATGCTTGTCTGTTTGATTGACTTCATAGGCCTATGGCCCATAGTCTGAGCATCTGTTAAGAGGATAGCAATATGCAATATAGCAAATATGGGGGATTTCCTTGTGTTTTGTTTTTGAAATCCAATACTGTAACCACTATTTTGTTTTGCTCCATTTTACTGTTTTATTTTATTCAATGTTCTGATTGATTTTATTGTGTTTTGTTTGATCTTATTATGTCTGATGGTCTGGGCAGCAATCTTGAATATAACAAGAGGCACTATGGCAGTCATGTGGGGGGGGGAAGGAACTCTTCTCCACTGTTCGTGAGAGTGTGGAGATTCCTCAAAAAACTAAGACTAGAGGTCCCATTTGACCCAGATACTCCACTTCTGGGTATCTTCCCAAAAGAATTTAAAACATCAAACTGCCACAATATATGTGCACCCATGGTTATAGCAGCACAATTTGTAATAGCTAGATCTTTGAAACAACCTAAATGCTCACCAACTGAGGAGTAGATAAAAAGATCTGGTATTTTTATACAATGGAGTAGTACTCAGCCATAAATAAGGACAAACTGGAGATTATAGGTAAATGGATGACCTTGGAAAAATTATTTAATTTTCTCAACCCTCAATTTTCTCATCTGTAAAATGAAAATAATACCATAAATCCATACTAAGAAATCTTACATCATAGACAAGCATTTGTATAACGTTGGAACAAACTGCTTACTATTTTGTGATTTAAAATAATTCCAGCACAGGGCAGTCTGTAAGGACTCCATCTTTTCTGAGAGCTAATTTAGTAGAAGATACTTTACCCCATTTAGGAAAAATAGATTTTTGCTTCATCAGGTTGTGTTGAGGATTTAAAGAAGCAAATCATAGAGCATAGAGCTAGTATATAGCCTCCTAGCAATATAAACTAATCCATGCACCACTGCATACTGCCCCTCCTTTCTCACCCAGCAGAACCAGGTAAGATGATTGGTAAGTGAATGACATGCATAAATACCTTCTAGGAATAGGAAGTTGACAGTCTCAAAGAAGGCAGAGGAAACCTACACATTTAAAAATCACATCATGGATCTTAACTCCAACAGTCAGTAAGAGGTCAAAGGGAATACAAACATTATTAAATACTGCAATTGGAAAAAAAAAAAAAAACCATGCACAGAAAACCACCACCAACGTGGAGAAAATAGCTTCTTTGTAAAGAACCTAGGATTAAGTTTCGCATTCACTTTTATATAAACGGGCCCACTAGTAGGTGGTGGAGGACTGTAGCTTTGCCTAGAGTGTCAAAGCCTTTTGTTTATCTGCAGTCTGGGGTTTCTGTTATTCTTGAATCAGTCCCCAGTAACTGCATACAAAGCCTTTGCTGTAAAACGCATGTCGTCTTTAGAAAAGCTGACTTTTTTGGCTGACTTAAAAAAAAAAACCTCTGCAAAGTTGAGAATCAGACTTTGTTCTGACACGAAGAGTATATTCCATATGGCTGCAGGGAAGGCCAGGCTGGCTGCACACCTGCTCCTCAGAGGACAGAGCTTGAAGACAGGGAGCAATGAGCCACTCTGAGCTGCAGCTTGGGAATCCGCTTCCTCCTAGCCACAGTGTGTGCAGACACCAGGGATACCGCTAGTTAGGGGCTGAGAAGGACTCCAGACCCAAGATCTTTCTATTGCAAAACATTACTTGCTTGAGACAGCCAAGGCTTTAAACTCCCATAACCAAAGCTATGCTATTTGTTTGGGAAATGGACTTTTTTTTTAACATCCTGACAAAATGCAAAAATGTAAATTGGAGCTGAACCTGGTGGCACACACCTGTAATCCCAGCTACTTGGAAAATCACAAGTTCAAGACAGGGCCAGTGTGGACAACCTACTGTGACCTTATCTCAAAACAGAAATGCAAAGGGCTGGAGATATTTATCAATGTTCCTTGAGTTAATCCCCAATCATGAAGAACAGAAGGAGGGAGGGAGGGAAGAAGAGAAGGGGAGGGGGGGAGAGAGAGGGAAAGAGGAGGAACAAAACTAAGTTGTTATGTGTAAAGATCATTCATGGATGCACTCAGGTATGAGCAAATTCATCACCCATCAACACATTTATTGTGCACATATCCCATACTCTGCATATACAAAGAATAAATCAAGTCACATGACTCAAGAAGCCCACAAGTAAGAGGTGGTAAGGTTATACATGTTTGACAATATAATAAATAAGGTCTTTAACAAAGGTATACATTCACTCTGGTAACACATCTAAATCCTGGAAGTGTGCACCCCAACTGAATCTTAACAGTCAGTATAGTATCAGGGGACAAAGCTCAGAGAAATCAATCATAGAGTAGGAGCTTTCCTTCATTCCTTCAATATTTAATGTGTACTTACTGCCTTAGTTACTTTTCTTGTTGCCGAGACAAAACAGTCAATGTTAAGGGAAGAAAGGTTTGCTTGGCTTGTAGTTGTTAGAAGGTTCAGTCCCTAACTGATTGGCTCCAAGGCAGGGTGGCACATGACAAAAGGGCAACAGTTCATGGTGGGTGGAATGTAGCAAAAGCAAGGAGAGACTTCACAGTGTCTTTCTGCCTCTTATATCTTATCCAGACTACTTAC